AAAAAAAAAAAGGGTTGTGATTATAGTCATTGTTATTTGAAATGTATTATTCAGAGTCAATGTATTTTGCTATGGCGATATTTTTTTAGTGGAATGAACAATTGTCCTGATTCTTCAAAACAGCCTTCAAACATAGCAGGTGAAATATGAATGAGGTAAAAGAACTCATGAACGCAGGTCACCCAATCAGTCATTGCCTTAGGATTTTAGGATTTCCCATCTCTGGGGATTTTTAAGTATTTTTAAGTAACTAGAATGAGTGATTATGCCTGTAATACTTTGTTTATGTTGGTGAGTGAGGAAGGGGTAGGGCTGAGAAAAATATTTCAAGCAGCCTCTGAGAAATTCCCGGTCAATAATATCAGCGAGTTTTCAATCGCCCAAATAATAGTCAGTTAGATGTGGTTTTTACAGGTTCCCAAGAGGGAGGCAAAGACATCAAAAGAGTGAGCCGGTTTCCAGGAGAGGAGTTGCTGGTAATAAGGGGCTGGTAAAGAGGTTAAGTTTCAAAGTCTGATTGGAAATTGCAGCTATGGAATTCGGAATCCTTGTCACTGAGGCTTTATAGCCTGTGGATTTGGCCTGCTGTGCACAGGCCGTGGCTCTTAGTTTTTAACCCTGAGGAAAGTGGCAGTGGAGCACAAAAACATATGCAGCGCCTTCTGGGGGGTCCTGGGGGTGCGGGAATAATGCTCAGAATTAACCGGCAAGTAAAGGAGTTAAAAGAAAGCACCAGCATGCGGGGACTCCTGAAGCATCCTAGCAGACTAATCAAAGGTATCTGGACATAGTCCTTCATCGAGGATAAAGCAAGGTAACTTTATCCATCACAAGCTAAATAAAATCCGAGTAGGATCAGTCCAGTCATGATAAGTTTTATGATAAAAACTCATGACAAGAATGTGCAAGAATGCCATGGAAAACTTTTCACGCTTTCCTGTGCATACGAATCAGCTGGCCGTCTGGCCAAAGTGAAGATTCTAATGCAGCCACTCTGAGCAGGGGCCTGCAATTTAAAACAGCTCCAGCTGGCGCTGGGACTGCCAGTCCTCAGACCACACTTTGAGTTGTAGATCATAAAATTTTGTCCTGTAATTTTGTTTTTCACAAAACAAATTAATCTGCTGTTAATATGCATTAAATTCTGATTTCTATCTTCTGCTTTAAAAGGTGGAGAAGGGACAAGATTTCTTCATTCATGACCTCATGGAAAAAACATTTGGAAAAACTTCATGTTGAATTGTCTTTATTTGGGGGTTGAAAATACACGTGCCATTTGTTTGATGGATGCCCCTGATTACAGAATGAAGTTAATTAAATTCAGTATGTTGTCTACATACAACAACAGTGGCATTCAAAAAATGTTTAACTAGAAGTTCTGTAAGAGCAGTCACTTTTGTGGTTAAAATTTGAAAACAAGCACTGCCTGCTTTCAACATTAGATTGTCTTTAGCACAGAACCATCCTGGGTTTGGAGAGAGTGTCATGGGGCAGTAGAAAGCACAAATTCCAAAGCCAGAATTCCTAGATTCTCATCCCAGTTCTGCCACTTAATGACTATGTGTTTGTGGATGAGCGTGTGATAGTTTACTCATCTGTAAAATGGGTCTGCAATCTACAGGACTTACTCGACTGAGTTAATATCTATAAAGCTCTTAGAACAGTGCCAGCACATTGTATGCCTTATATAAATGTTTTTTTAAATAGATGATCAAAATAAACAATGTATGTGTCAATGTCACATCTTAGCTGCTCTCTGATCCCAGGGAACCCAGAAAGCCTGTTCTCCTTTTACTTACTAAAACATCCTGTGAGACTTTCCCAATCAGTAGGTGGCCAGAGAGAAAAGAGACTTCGGCCGAAAAAACTGGGAACCCCCAAAGAAATCCATGACATTTAGGAATGTGTCCATTTTCCTTACGTGGTTAGACTTACCTCAGTTCTTTGGTCTTGCAGTTGGTGATGTATATTGGTCAGGTGGCCAAGGATATCTTGAAGTGGCCCCGTCCTTCCTCCCCTCCTGTTGTGAAACTTGAAAAGAGAGTGATTGCCGAATTCGGAATGCCGTCCACCCATGCCATGGCCGCCACGGCCATTGCCTTCACCTTCCTCATCTGTACTATGGACAGATACCAGGTAAGGAGACCTCATTCTTCTTCCTCCAGGGTCCAACGCTCCCCATATAACAAGGCAGCAAATCGAGGCTGCACTTCAGAATTTTCTCTTAAATCTGCTGTGAGGGACTTTAAGATTTATGAAATAAAGACTGAGGGGAACTTGAGACTATTGATCTGTTTGTTGATGGCAATTGCTTCCTAAGTAAGTGACATATAATTTAGCATCCAATCAGGTAGGGCCTGAGTGTGAATGTGGACGCGATTAGTCGTGATACCAGGACAACTAGCAGAACATGGGCCGCCCCGGGTGACGGGCCGCGCTCTGTCAACTTTGATCTCATTGCTGTGGATACCACACACAGCGTTAGAACCTGAAGCATGCGGAGCCCCATCTCTGTGTCTAGTTTGTAAGCAGGGTATCTGTGTGTCCTTTCATGACCCAGCATTAGCCAGATCCTCCAGCAGCTCCCCGCACGTGTTGAGGTTAGTAGAGTCGGCACCAGGGCTTTCACGTCTGTCCATAAATATGCCCATTCCTAGTTTGAGCTGTTGCCCCTGGGTCTCCTCAGAAGAAGTCGCTTGTTGTGACTTTCATATTATAGCACTGGCCATCTACTGTGCCCCTTGGCTAAATTGTTTCTTAAATTCTAATTTAAGAATAAATAGGAATAAAAATTATTCAGTCCCCTAACACTGCCCGCACAATAGTTGTTGTCATGAGTCTTCAGGCCAAGTTCTGCTGTCTCATCGCATGTTTATATGTTGTGAAACTTCGTTCTAGAACTGGAAGGCCTAGGAAGGCCTCTTCCCCTACTTTCTTTGATTTCCCCCATTTAAAAAACGTCTTTAGATAATCCTATTGCTGTGTATGGAATACGAGATTCAGACTAGCAATCATTGCAAGGGGAGCCCTTTTCTCACCTCCGATGTCAAAGGGTGTCTGTCTGAGTGTGATCTAATTCCCTTGTTTTCCCTCCTCCCCCCACAGTACCCTTTTGTTTTGGGACTGGCGGTGGCTGTGCTGTTTTCCACCTTGGTGTGTCTCAGCAGGATCTACACCGGCATGCACACGGTCCTGGTAAGGCTTTGTGCTCAGGTCTCGTGGTGATGGCTTAAATAACGTTCTGGTCAGCGTGTCAGTGTGTTCCTCATGCTACTTATTTATAAAGCCATTTGCATATGTAATTATATTTTTCATCAGGCCAGTGAGTTAAGTAATTATTATGTTACAGCTCATGCCTAATAATAGTAATGAAATATGAAGGTAATATTAACAAGGCTGAGCGAGGCTAGAGCCTCAGGACTTTGAAGATGAGCTGGGAGAGCAATGGAGACTCAGGTAATTTATTTCCATGTTGGCTTACTGATGATGCAGCGACCAGCACAGAAAAAACACCCCAGGTTAAGGACACCCATGAGTGGACACGGTCCCCATTTAGGTAGTCACAGAGAAGACCTGAAATTCACAGGGGTCTCCGCTAACTTTCAGGTTAAGGGTCATGCCAGGTCATAGGAGGTGGTGTCACAAACAGGGAGATATCTGAATTTAAGGTCTGTCCACCCAGGGTGACAGGGGGTCCCAGGTTTTGGAAAACAGTTGAGGGCCAGTCCTATTCTTTTCCCTACATCTGTGCTGTCCCAGTCCCATCTTGCTCCCTGCCTGGTGGCTGCTGAGAGGAAGGGGAGGGGGCAGGGCACATTCTCAATTCGCTACACTACTGCTTCTGATTACAAAGAGGCTCTCTCCAAATATGTCCTTGGACTTCAAGGCGGAGTTAAGGAGCATTCTCGGGTGTTTTAGCATTTCTTTTATCTGGGCCTAGTTTTTAATTTCCATCGGTTTTAATAAAATAATGATTTGGAGGAACTCAGGTTAAAGTTAAAACCAAAGTAAATGTGAGGACGTGGAGTTACAGGAATGAATAAAGAACACACACACCACCTCAGTGAAAATGCAGCGACATTTTTTCCTTTTCTTTTTGAAGTGGGTTATAGGAATGGAGGAGTAGATACTGGCGGAAAGGTGGATTAGGCCTCTCGTGCAGGTGCAAGGAGTGAATGCAGCCACTCTTTGTGGAGCATCTGTCCACGAAGAAAGTGGAGCAGTGGGCCACAGCAATGTGGGATGCAGGGCTTCTTCATGCAGATCCTAGAGCCTGACTCGGGGGCAAGCCAGGCTCCAGTCAGACTTCAGACCCAAGCGTGGCTCAGGGTGCCAGGGTCATGAGGTCTAGAAGCACAAGCGAATGATTGGTTTTAATACCAGCATGAAGTTAAATTGTGGATTAGTAATCTTCTTTATTCAATGGCAATTTAATAAGCTCCTATAGGTGTCAGGCTTCAAACTAGATCTGGGATATATTGTGGCAAACAAACATGCCCCACTCCCTGGGCCTCTGGCGTCTACGCATGTGAAACTCATATGATGAGTACTGTAATTAGCACGGAACCGCCAGATTGAGCCACTAAGGTAGCCAACAGTCTCTGGGACTGCTGTCCGGGACTGCTGTGTGCAGTGGCTCTCCATCATAGCTGCATCATCAGATCCTGTGGACACTTTTGAAACAAACGGAGAGATATGCGTGCCCCCTCGTATAACGTTATTCGTCACAATAGACAAAAGGTAGAAGCTCCCCCATGCTCACTGACGGATGAATGGATAAACAAACAGGCATAACTAGGAGATATTTGGGGTTCGGTTCCAGAGACCACAACAAAATGAATCCTGCAACAAAGCAAATATTGCAGTCAAGCGAGTTGCACAATTTTTTTGGTTTCCCAGTGCGTATAAAAGATATATTTATATTATGCTGTAGTCTAGTAAGTGTATAATAGACTATGTCCAAAAAAATAGTGCATATTCCTTAATTTAAAAAATACTGCTAAAAAATGCTAAGGATCCTTTGAGCCTTCAGCAAGTTGTAATCCTTTTGCTGAAAGCAGGTCTTGCCTCAGTGGTGATGGCTGCCGACTGGCAGGGTGGCGGTCGCTGATTGTTGGGGTGGCTGTGGCAGGTACTTAAAGCTTGCTGCCTCAATTCACTTTTGCTCTTTCACAGAAGATTTGTGAAACAGAAGGCAATGCTGTTTTTTTCTTTTCTATTTTCCTTTATAAATGCCAAGCCACATGATGCTGTTTGATAGAGTTTGACCCACAGTAGAATTTTTTGAAAAATTGGAGTCAGTCTTTTCAAACCCTGCCACTACTTTATCAACTAAGTGTATGTAATATTCTAAATCTTTGTGGTCATTTCAACAAGGTTCACAGCAGCTTCACCAGGAGTAGAATCCATTTCAGGAGACTATTTTGGCCGAGTACAGAGGCTCATGTCTATAATCCTGGCACTCTGGGAGGCCAAAGCAGGAGGATGTCTTGAGCTCAGGAGTTTGAGACCAGCCTGAGCAAGAGCAAGACCTCATCTGTACTAAAAACAGAAAAATTAGACAGGCATCACGGCAAGTGCCTATAGTCCCAGCTCCTGGGGAGGCTGAGATAGGAGGATCACTTGAGCCCAAGAATTTGAAAACTTTTATGGCACCACTGCACTCTAGCCCAGATGGCAAGACTAATAAAGTGATACACTGTCCAAAAACAAAAAGAACTCTTTTTTTGCTGATATATAAGGAGCAACACCTCATCCCTTTAAGTTTTATTTTGAAAACATAATTTATTCATATCTTTAGGTCACACTTCTAGTTCTCCTGCTACTTTTGACACATCTGCAGTTACTTCCTCCACTGACGTCTCAACCCCCTCAAAGTCATCTGCAAGGGTTGGAATCAACTTCTCCCAAACTATAGTTCATGTTGATATTTTGACCTCCTCTCATAAAATACAAATGCTCTTGCTGGCCTCTAGAATGATGACTCTTTTCCAGAGGTTTTCAATATCCTTTGTTTAAATCCATCAGAGCAATTACTATAGACATATCCTTACAGACTTGAGAGTTGAAATTATGCCTTAATCCATGGGTGGGCTGCAGAATGGATGCTGTGTTTGCAGGCATGATACCAGCATCCGTGCATATCTGTATCAGAACTCTCGGGTGGTCAGGTGCATTGTCGATGAGCAGTAGTCAGAGAGGAATCTTATTTTCTGAGCAGTGGGTCTCAGATGTTCAGTAAACCATGCTGTGAGCAGATGTGCAGTCATCCAGGCTTTGTTATTCCATTTATAGAGCACAGGCAGAGAATATTTAGCATAATTCTTAAGAGCCCTAGGATTTTCAAAATGGTAAATGGGCATTGGCTTTGATTTAAAGTCTAGCTGCAGTAGACCATAATGAGAGGGTCTGCCTGTCCTCTGTAGTCTGGTACTGACTTCCCTTCTCTCCTCTAGCTATAAAAGTCCTAGAAATCATCTTCTTCCAATAGAAGACTGTTCTCTCTACAGTGAAAACCTATTGAGTGTAGCCACCTTCACCAATTAATTGAAGAATTAATTGATAAGAATTGAAGTGACTTAGGGCCTTGCTCTAGATTAGGCCCTGGCTTAAGGGAATGTTCTGGCTCATGTGATCTTCTATCCAGACCATTACAATTTTCTCTATATCAGCAATAAGGCTATTTTGCTTTTTAAATCATTCATATGATTTGAACACTTAAAGGCTATTGTAGAGTTATCAAATGGCCTGATTCCAATATTTCTGTGAGACAGAGAATAGGAAGGCCTGGGGGGGGGGGAGAGAGCTGGGGGAATGGCTGCTCAGTGGAGCAGTCAAAACACACACAACACTGGTCAGTTAACTTTATCATCTTATATGGAAGCAATTTGTGGCGCCTCAAAATAATTACTATCATAATGTAAAGTTCACTGAGGGAACACTTTCACACTGTTGGTAGGATTGCAAACTAACACAGCCTCTTTGGGAAGAGGTATGGAGAATCTTTGAAGAGCTAAAAGTAAACCTTCCATTTGATCCCACTGTCCCATTACTAAGCATCTACCTAGAAGAAAAAAAATCACTTTATCATAAGGACATATGTACTAGGTTGTTTCACAGCTCAAATTACAGTCAACCAAGATGTGGAAACAACCTAAATGCTCTTCAACCCAGGAATGGGTTAATAAACTGTGGTATATGTACACCATGGAATACTATTCAGCCATAAAAAGATGGAGACTTTACATCTTTTGTATTAACCTGGAAGAGTTGAAACATTTTTCTTTTTTGGACACAGAGTCTCAAGTTGTCACCCTGAGTAGAGTTCCATGGTGTCACAGCTCACAGCAACCTCAAACTCTTGGGTTTAAGCAATTCTCTTGCTTCAGCCTCCCAAGTAGCTGGGACTACAGGTGCCTGCCACAATGCCCAGGTATTTTTGGTTGTAGTTCTAATTGTTGTTGGGTGGGCCTGGGCTGGATTTGAACCCACCACCTCTGGTATATGTGGCTGGCCTCCTAGCCACTTGAGCTACAGGTGCCAAGCCGAAACATATTCTTCTTAGTAAAGTATCACGTGAAGGGAGAGGCAAGAATGAAATGTACTCAATTCTAATATGAACCAGTAGACGATGTCATATACAGCCACATAAGAGAAAAACTCAATTCAATTCAAGTTGGGGGGAGGGGGTATGAGGCAAGGGGGAGAAGGCAGAAGAGGGGGATGGGTGTGCTCCCATCTAACGGGCACAATGTAAGGGTATATGGCACCTCCTGGGGCCGGAGATGACTGCAGCAAGGACCCTGCCTAACAAAGGCAAACATTGTCACCTAATTGTTTATATCCTCAGGTTAATCTGAAATTTTAAAACAAATTCAAAATAAAAAAACAAAAAAGATCACAGATCACCACAACAAATGTAACAATAATGAAAATGTTTAAAATATTGAAAGAATTACCAAAGTGTGACAGACACAAAGTGAGCTCATGCTGTTAGAAAAATGGCACCGAAAGACCTGCTGGACCCAGGGTTGCCATAGACATTCAACTTGTAAAAGTATATGTGGGAAGCAGAGTCCATTTGTGGGCAATAAAATGAGATATTCCTGCTACATACAGTGGCATATTACTCAGCCTTAAAAAGGAAGGACATTCTGGCACACACTGCAGCCATAAAAGGACAGAGATCCTGTGCT